AGGGAAATCGAAGGGGCTCAGGTCAAGACATGATGGGGTTTGTCCCGTGGAGGGTTAAGCAGGACTTGATTTTGCCTGGTCAGGGACTGAGAGCCTCCCTAACAGCGATCCTTCACAGGATAAGCTGTAAAGTGGTAAGAAAGAACATAAGAAAGAAGAGGCCTGCCGGATCAGACCAGTGTGGGTCCATCTAGTCCAGCATCCCGTCTCACACAGTGGACAACCTGTTCTTCTGGAGGGCCAACAACAGGACAATAGAGGCCGAGGCCTTCCCCTGAAAAGTACATAAGAAGAGTCCTGCTGGATCAGACACTGGTCCATCGTCTAGCATCCTGTCTCACACAATGGCCAACCAGATTAAACCTCTAGAGGGCCAACAACAGGGCAGAGAGGCCAAGGCCTCCCCCTGATAAGAACATAAGAAGAGCCCTGCTGGATCAGACCAGTGAGGGTCCATCTAGTCCAGCCTCCTGTCTCACGCAGTGGCCAACCAGTTCCTCTGGAGGTCCAACAACAGGACCACAGAGGCCTTCGCCTGAGAAGTACATAAGAAGAGCCCTGCTGGATCAGACCAGTGAGGGTCCATCTAGTCCAGCCTCCTGTCTCACGCAGTGGCCAACCAGTTCCTCTGGAGGTCCAACAACAGGACCACAGAGGCCTTCGCCTGAGAAGTACATAAGAAGAGCCCTGCTGGATCAGACCAGTGAGGGTCCATCTAGTCCAGCCTCCTGTCTCACGCAGTGGCCAACCAGTTCCTCTGGAGGTCCAACAACAGGACCACAGAGGCCTTCGCCTGAGAAGTACATAAGAAGAGCCCTGCTGGATCAGGAAAAATCAGAGAGACCGGGGGAGAGAGGGAGGAGGGATTTCAGCAAACCATGACATAGTGCCCCCCCCCCCGAGCCCCTCTATGCATTCAGACAAATCTGTGGACCTGTGGGGGTGGGGGTTATGTCAAGGCTTCTCCCTGGGTGATGAGGCAGAGTGGTGCAGTGGTCAGTCTAGGATCTGGGAGACCCAGGTTCAAGTTCCTGTTTTGCCGTGGGCGACCCTGGGTCAGTCGCTCGGCCTGCCCTACCTCATAGGGTCGTTGTGAGGATGAAAGAAGAGAATGTCAGCCGCTTCGGGGTTCCCACCGGGGAGAAACAAAGCGAAGAGACACACATTTTGTTTTATCCATAGAAATCCTCTCTGCCCTTCCTTTACCACCGTGTACGTGTTTCTCTGCCCTTGCTAGCTGTGTGTATCTGCACAGACGGCATTTCAACTTGCAGTCCATTCGCGATGCGGTTTCCCAAGCCCTGCCTCTGGCCGTTATCCAAATTCTGGCCAGCGTGCGCATTCCCTCCCCCGTCCCCGGTCTAGCTTCCGGTATCGGCTGCTCTCCCACCCTGACCCGAGTATGGACAGACAACCACCTTCAAAGAGAGTGGACATTTTAATGTTTAATGCGGGAATCCCACAGTTCTCTGGCGTAGTAAGTAACAAGGTAGAACATGACATTCTAGTCCTACAGCTTGGAAGCTCCCCATCCGAAAGAAGCGATAATTATCCCGTTGAAGTTAACAGCACACTGGGTGAAGCCAGGCTCACCCAAGCACCTCCAGGCTCCAACAGTGTCATATTACGACCTCTCGGGACTTAACACACCTCCTGGGGTTGATGCCTGCCAGGAATTGCAGAAACAGCGGACTGTCGAGCGCCTGGAAGCCCATAACACAAGCTTGAGAAGCAGAGTGCAATCAGATGGGTTGCAAGACTGCGCATGCCCCCGCGCCATCTCGGCCATCGTTCCCATGACTTACAACCGGGCCCCGTCCTCCACATCTCTTTGTACCCTCCCATCCGGGTTTTGTTGTGCATTCCCATATTATATAGGCTCTCTCACAAACATGGTACACTGAGGACTAAACCCCTAGACAGCAATCAGGTCGAGAGACGGCTCCCGGAATGGCGGGCCGAAGTGCGGACTGATGTGTCCCTGCGCCAAACGAAAGAGGAGGTCCCCCGGTGCCTTCCAGACCTCCGCAAATCTGTCCGTCGGCGTCTCCCCCGCCGGTTCCTAAACCCTTCCGAATACTCTGAGAAACCCTTCTTCGTCCACCACCTGCCCAAAGCGGAGAGTGAAGTAGAAGAACTGACCCTCGCCGTATCGCTTGAGGCAGAGTAGGAGCTCGTTCCGGTCGCCGCCGGCGTCATCCAGGGTCATCACGGTTTCGATGGGGCAATCGACTTCCCTCCTCCTCCCCCAAAACGTCAAATGAGCCACTCGCAGGACCGTGCCGTCTCGCTTCAGGTACATCAGTCCGACGATCCGCCGGAAGAAATAGCTCATGGCATACAGCATGAAGCCGGCGAAGCAAGCGATCCCGGTGCTGTAGAGGCACTGGGCTTGGGTCACTTGGTCTTGCCAGTGGAGAAACCAGATGGGCGGGAGAACCAGCACCGTAAAGGCCGTTTGTAGGAGCTTCAACCTCGACAGGGCCCGGCAGTACCTGATCCCAGGGAACCTGTAGATCAGCCTGAAGTCTTTGGGGCTCTCTGCGGGGGTTTCCTCCCGGACCCGTTGAGAAGGGGCTGAAATGCCGAGCCATCTGGGCAGGACTTGCTGTATCGCAGGGCTCTGCCAGCCACGCGGCTGCACCACCGGACGCATTCTAAAGGAAGGGAACGAGGCCTGTTCCCCCCGTCCCAACCAAGCAGTGTTTCGGAGATGCCTTCCGCAGGATCGGACGAGGCACGGACGACCGCAAGCACCCAGCATTCCAGCCTGAAACAAAGCATGCATTTCTGTAAGATGTGCTATGCCCTAAAATAGGATTGCTGGGTGAAGCAGAGAGGCACATGATGAGACTTCCCTCAGAATCCCGCACATTCAGAATGTAAAGAAGGGTGGGATTTAAAAAAAAAAAATGCAAGCACAACATTTAAAAAAAGATATTTCTGTTTAGATTTGTATATACCTGTCTGCATGTGCAGGTCTATCCTATTTATTTTGTGCACATGGAAATCTCTCTGCACAGTTCTAGCCAGCTTGGTGTAGTGGTTAAGAGCGGCAGAGTCTAATCTGGAGAGATGGGTTTGATTCCCCACTCCTCCGCATGTAGCCAGCTGGGTGACCTTGGGTCAGTCACAGTTCTCGCAGAGCTCTCTCAGCCCCACCGACCTCACAGGGTGTCTGCTTTGGGGAGAGGATGTGAAGGTGTTTGTAAGCCACTCTGAGACTCCTTTGGGTAGTGAAAAGTGGAGTATAAAAACCATCTCTTCTTCTACCCGGTGGACACACCTGTCTATATCGATCTAATATAAGAACATCAGAGAAGCCAATGTTGGATCAGGCCAGTGGCCCATCCAGTCCAACACTCCGTCACACAGTGGCCAAAAACACCAGGTGCCATCAGGAGGTCCAGCAGTGGGGCCAGGACACTAGAAGCCCTCCCACTGTTGCCCCCCCCCCAAGCACGAAGAAGACAGAGCATCCCTTGCCCCAGACCGAGAGTTCCTATCTATACCTTGTGGCTAATAGCCACTGATGGACCTCTGCTCCGTATGTTTATCCAATTCCCTCTTGAAGCCCTCTATGCTTGTAGCTGCCACCACCTCCTGTGGCAGTGAATTCCATGTGTCAATCACTCTTTGGGTGAAGAAGGACTTCCTTTTATCTGTTCTAACCCGACCGCTCAGCAATTTCATGGAGTGCCCACGAGTTCTTGTCTCGTGAGAAAGGGAGAAGAGGACTTCTTTCTCCACCTGCTGTATCCCATGCATAATCTTATAAACCTCGATCATGTGTGGGAAGGTCTATTTTTATATCTAGATCTGCATACAGTGAGAGATCTGCATATACTCTCTCCCTGCATGCACACACACAAACACAGATGCAACATAGATATGCACACCCATTGAGCTACACACAAACAGAAACGAATCTCGAGTCACACACAACACACGCCTTTATAAATGCGCACACACACATTTGCATTTAAATAAGCCGCTCTATGCATATGTATGTACAGATTTGCCCGCGCGTTAATGAATGCACCCATAGATCTGAACGCACCATTCATACACGCATCTAAGTGCACGTTTGTATTGTGCTTCTATTGCAGGACACGACGTGGTCTCTTGGTTTCTTTACCAGCCCAGTCCGCCCTTCCCCTCCACGCTAGCCATTGCCTTGCCCGCTTCCAACACTTTTCTTTCGCCTCCGCGGGCGACTCCTCCGTTGTTTTCAGCCCAGCGGCCTCCGTCCAGTGCTACTCTCTATGGTTCCGGTCGGCGCCCCGCAGCATGCTGGGAGTCGTAGTTTACCACATCGCCGCCTCAATGTTAGGCCCGCAGAGCTTTTCCGCGTCCCGCCGCGAGGCATGCCGGGAGCTCCGCCGCCTGCTTCGCGTCAAGGCAAGCCCCCGCCCCAAAGAGCGACCGGTGGAGAACGTAGCGGGGGAAGTGGAGTGCGCGTGCGCCGAGTGACGCAAGACTATTCCCGGATATCTCTCCGCGGGGCACGCCGGGAGTCGTAGTCGGAAGCGGAACCGGCGCCAGCTCATTGTCCCGGCCAGCAGGCGAAGCATGGAGGGCGACGAAGGGAGCCAGCGGGACGGCGGGCGCGTCCTTTGCCTCTTCGACGTGGACGGCACGCTGACCGGGCCCCGCCAGGTGGGAGGGAACCCGCGCGAGGACCCCCGAGCATGTGCAGAGTGCCCTGGGACTGGGGCGGTGGGTGGGAAAGTCTGGCAAGCAGCGGGGCGTGATTGACAGCTGTGATTCTTACGTGTTGCATGCTCGCGTCTTCTTTTGCAGTTTCCCTTCTGCATGACGGGGTGCCTCGAAAGAGTTTTCCCTTTGCATTTTTCTCCCTGGACTTCTGTAGTCTTATTGCATTGCTGGTTGGACGCCTTGTACTGTCTGGTTTTGAGACCAACAAAGCGTTATTCAAGGTGTGAGCTTTCGTGGGCAGGCACACTTCCTCAGATACAGCGAAAAGGAAGTTAACGGTCCACGCATACGACATAATGGAGATGTTTTACCTGGAAAATACTGATAAGGTATTTTTGCCTATATTTTTGGCTCATTTTCCACAGTGAAAACAGACCCAAATACTTTTCAGTTTCTCTGCCATCTTTTCATCTTCCTTAAGCAATCCTTTCATTCCTTGTAATGTAACTGTAATGTAACGCAATGAATATTGGAATGTATTTCTCTGATCTGGTGACAGAGGAGACATAACACTGCACAACCATTCACCCCACCTCCAAGAAAAGTATGCTGTTAGTTACATCCATGCTTGAGAGGAGACAAATGGACTGTAACAACAGGATCTCAGTTATTTAGTCAGCATTCCACTATTAAGAAGGGTATATTTACACATTAGTCTCCTATTTTGACGTATTTATTTGCTCCACTGTTGCCCCCCCCCAGTAATCAAATCCAAACAAAGGGTGACCTTATAAACTTGGCTTGTTATTCCTGTTTGCATCTCGCTAATCCTCGAGGTGGGTTACAAAGCATAAAAAAGTGTCGTCAGACTAGGGTTGCCAACGCTGGGCTGTAAAATACCTCGAGATTTTGGGGGTGGAGCCTGAGGAAGGCGGGGTTTGGGGAGGGGAGGGACTTCGTTGGGGTATCCTGCCATAGACTCCACCCTCTGAAGCAGCCTTTTTCTCGGGGGGGGGGGTACTGATCTCAGTCATTGGGAGACCAGTTGTAAAAGCGAGCGATCTCCAGCCGCCCCCTGGAAGTTGGCGGCCCTCAATCAGACAATATAAGACAGTGCAGCAGAATCAGGATTGCAGAATTAGAAAACAAGGCAAACAAGGAAGAAAGAACGCCCGGGTAAGGCGTGGCTTCCCGTAATGCCAGAAGCAGGTTACAAAGGTCGAAGGCAGGGCCGTAAAAACAAGGCGGTACTGCAAACTTGCTTCCTTGTAGAAGTAGTTTCCCAAACATACTTTTCCTTTTGCAACATGAGTCGACTTAGAATTGATTTTTTTACAAACATAAATGCCATTGTGTACTGTAGTGAGAGCCAGTTTGGTGTGGTTAGGTACATGGGCTGTAATATGGGAGAACTGGGCTTTGAGTCCCCTCTCCTCCTCCACATGCAGCTGCTGGGGTGACCTTGTGTCAGTCACAAGTTCTCTCAGAGCTGTTCTCTCAGGAGCAGTCCTCGAAGGAGCTCTCTCAGCCCCACCTACCCCACAGGGTGTCTGTTGTGGGGAGGGGAAGGGAAAGGAGATTGTGAGCCACTCTGAGACTCCTTCAGGGAATGAAGGGCGAAGTTTAAATCTAATCTCCTCCTCCTTTTCTTCAAAAGCACACTGTTGACAGTTGAACACCTGCCGCTCTCAGCAGAGAAAAAACAGCACTCTGCACATGTCTCGGACCACTCGTTTTTTAAAATTTCTCTCAACTTGGTGAAGGGGTGTGTGTCTAAAGCACAGGTTACCTTCACTTGCCCTTCTTCAGAAATTAAATCAGTGGGAACTATTTTTCTTTTCTCTTTTGTGCAGTAAAAATGTAGAAGTATCTTTGGAATTCGGCTCATGTGTAAGGAGACGGGAAGGGGCGTGAGCCTACCTTGCAGGGCTGCTGTTGTGCAGGGAAGCGGAGAACAAAGCCACTTAACACTGCCTTGCTCCCAGAAAGCCGGGCAGGACAGAAATACATTTATTGCGGTGACATCTACAGTGTAGTTGACACACAGTGATCTATTTGGTTTTTGCCCCCTTCTTCCCTGCGATTCTAGAAAATCACTCCGGAAATGGCAGATTTTCTACAGGCTCTGCGGAAGAAGGTGAAAGTGGGTGTCGTGGGTGGCTCAGACTTTGAGAAGATCCAGGAACAGCTGGGGGAAGACGGTAAGGCCGGAGCGTGGCCCTTTCAAGCCCAATAAGCTAATTGCTGATGAGCAAGTGCTAAGACAGGTGTAATGTGTTATGGGCAGGGATGCTGGTGCGGAAATCCCGGTATGTTGACTTCACCCACACCAAATGAAGTTCCTCAAACATCATTTGTGCTCCTAAAGCGAGCCGGCCATCTGGCAATGACGTCCATTTCCTGACCGCGCATCAAGTGCTTTTAGCTGCCGCTCAGAGCCACACCTTACTTTGGATCAAGCTGTCTTGTGCTTGGAAGCGCTGGATTTGATTTGTGGAGGGCAGCTGTGATCCCGAAATGGAACCTCCACAGTCAGAAGCAGTGTACCTCCGAATCGTACATGCTGGCAATAATGCAGGGGCTTTCATACCTTGCCTTGTGGTCTTTCCTGATCCGTCCCGCAGGACGCGCTAGCAAATGGACTTTGGGCTGATCCGGCAAAGCTTGCCTTCCATCGTGAACGCTCTTTCGTTGCATGACTTCCGAAAGCCACTGAACAATTAATCTGCATTGATCTATAAAAGAGGCCTTTGCTTTGCCTCTGTGCTCGCTTGAGCTGTTGGTGACTAGATCCTGGTATCTAATTTGTAACACCCTTTTCTGCATGCGTTAAAGGTTAGATTCTCTCCTACCCCTTCCCCATTTGAAGAAGCTACTGATATGGGGGCTGGAAGGTATATGGGAAATCGAGAAATCTGTCGGGAGCACGTAGATGGAACTACTTCACACCGGCAGATTCGGTAATAAAGGAAACAGCATGCTGATTCGTTGTCCGCATTTCTTTTCCTAGTGATTGAAAAATTCGACTACGTCTTCCCCGAAAATGGTTTGGTGGCCTACAAAGAAGGGAAACTGTTGAAGAAACAGGTGAGGACGTGAGAAAACAGCTAGTGGAGCCACTTGTTTGAGAGGGCCGGCTTCCGATGTCGCCTGGTAGCTTATTTTGCACACAAACACAGGGTGTCTGTTGCGGGGAGAGGAAGGGAAAGGAGACTGTAAGCCGCTCTGAGACTCCTTCGGGTAGTGAAAGGCGGGGTATAAATCCCATCTCTTTCCCCTCTTCTTCTTCATCCCGTCCTATTGATTGTACTCAGTCACGCTTTGTAATCCTCCTCGAGTCCCTGTAAGAAAGACAGGCTAAGCGAAAGTCAAAATACACACATGAAATCAGATGACGCTCTGTTTAGGACATGGGACAACTTCCAGGATGTATTTGCTTTTCCGAATAACCTACATCGCTGTTGGTATGTGGCAGGGATTCTGTTCGGATGAAGAAGAAGAAGAGATTGGATTTATATCCCACCCTTCACTTGGAGTCTCAGAGCGGCTTACAAACTCCTTTCCCTTCCCCTCCCCTCCCCACAACAGACACCCTGTGAGGTGGGTGGGGCTGAGAGAGCTCTGACACAAACTGCTCTTTTTCAAGGACAGCTGTGCCAGAGCTTGTGACTGACCCAAGGTCACACCAGCAGCTGCAAGTGGAGGAGTGGGGAATCAAACCCGGTTCTCCCAGATTAGAGTCCGCGCACTTAACCACTACACCAAACTGGCTCCTCGTGGGGGGAGATACTCAGCGAGGTTCCTCAGTATGGTAAATAACACATCGTGTCGTGTGCAGCCATGTTGAAATGAAACATTCCTTACAGGGAAATGGGGAAAATCTCTGTGCGGGGACTCAGTCACGTCACAAACGTAAGTAACCCTGGGAAGCTGACCTCAGGGCCTCTGGTAAGAGCCAGTGTGGTGTCATGCTTAGAGTGCTGTGGTGCATTACAGGCAAGATTTGTTCCAGCGTCGGGAGCTCTACTGAGTCAGAACTCACTCCGTCAGACACACGGGAGCGTGTCTCCATTCGGCATTCTATTATCTGCGCCCTGACCCAGATGGCCCAGGCAAGCCCGATCTCGGCAGATCTCGGAAGCTAAGCAGGGTCGGCCCTGGTTAGTACTTGGATGGGAGACCTCCAAGGAATACCAGGGTTGTGACGCAGAGGCAGGCAAAGGCAAACCCCCCTGTGAAATGTCTCTTGCCTTAAAAAAAAAATAAAATCTAGCTCGCCACCTAGTGATACATGATGCTAAAAAGAGCTAGAACTCCTGGCTGCCAGACAATCTTAGGTTCTCCCAGCTATACTACACACACTAAAAAAGGTAAAGGTAAAGGTTCCCTTGCTCGAAAGCCAGTCGAGTCCGACTCTAGGGTTGCGGTGCTCATCTCCGTTTCCAAGCCGAAGAGCCAGTGCTGTCCGTGGTCATGTGGCCGGCACAACGAAACACCAAGGCGCACGGAACGCTGTTACCTTCCCACCGAAGTGGTACCTATTTATCTACTTGCAACTTCTTGCTTTCGAACTGCTAGGTTGGCAGGAGCTGGAACTAGAGACGGGAGCTCACTCCGTCTTGCGGCACACTCGGGTCTCGAACTGCTGAACTACTGACCTTCCACAGCCTGCAGTTCGGCGCCTTAACCCCTTGAGCCACCGCAGCTCCTACTACACACGCTGCCATACGATAATTAATTCATGATTCTATTCTCTGCAGCAGTGAGTGTAAAGATGCCCCGCTGGATGGACAACCTCGCATCTGACAAAGCCAGCTGTCTCAGAAAAGCCAGAATAAATGTAGTTAGTCTTCAAGGTGCCCCCCCCCCCCCCCCCCTCTAGTTTTATTTTGCTTTGACGGACTAAAAACCGCCCATCTGGCAAGGATGTTGAAACAGGCTTGGGTTCAGATCCCCCTTTAGCAAAGAAGCCGGCTCGGCGTGCGTGGACCAGTCGCACTCTGGCAGTGTATCCTACCCTGTAGGGTCGTTGTTTGAAACAAAACGGAGGCGGAGGGAGCAAAGTACATGGCCTTGCCTTTGAGCAAAGGCAAGGGGTTTTTTTGGGGGAAAATGCATGGACAGATATAGAGGGCAATTTGGAGAGCCAGTTCTGACCTTTAAAGCTCTAAGTGGTCTGGAGTCAGGGTTCTTGAAGAACTGCCTCTATTACCAAATGAAGTTCCTCAAACATCATTTGCGCTCCTAAAGCGAGCCGGCCATCTGGCAACGACGTCCATTTCCCGACCGCGCATCAAGTGCTTTTAGCTGCCGCTCAGAGCCACACCTTACTTTGGATCAAGCTGTCTTGTGCTTGGAAGCGCTGGATTTGATTTGTGGAGGGCAGCTGTGATCCCGAAAGGGAACCTCCACAGTCAGAAGCAGTGTACCTCCGAATCGTACATGCTGGCAATAATGCAGGGGCTTTCATACCTTGCCTTGTGGTCTTTCCTGATCCATCCCGCAGGGCACCCTAGCAAATGGACTTTGGGCTGATCCAGCAAAGTTTACCTTCCATCGTGAACGCTCTTTCGTTGCATGACTTCCGAAAGCCACTGAACAATTAATCTGCATTGATCTATAAAAGAGGCCTTTGCTTTGCCTCTGTGCTCGCTTGAGCTGTTGGTGGCTAAAAAATGTAAACACACATGCCATATTTCGGTCTCAGAACCTTTAGTGGGGCCGCTCTGATTTTCTAACCCTTTCCTTTGGCGGTCTGGGGACCCTGTTCTTATCTCTCTCTGCACATAGATCCACGAGAGCCAGTTTGGTGTAGCCGTTAGGAGCGTGGACTCTAATCTGGGAGAACCGGGTTTGATTCCTCACTCCTCCTCCACTTGCAGCTGCTGGTGTGACCTTGGGTCAGTCACAAGTTTTCTCAGAGCTGTTCTCTCAAGAGCCGTCCTCGAAAGAGCTCTCTCAGCCCCACCTACCTCACAGGGTCTCTGTTGTGGGGAGGGGAAGGGAAAGGAGATTGTAAGCTGCTGTGAGGCTTCTTTGAGTAGTGAAGGGTGGGGGATCATGCCATTCTTCTTCTTTTCTCTTCTTGTATATAGTCACTATGGCTAGTAGTCATTGATGGGCCTCTTCTCTAAGAATCTGTCTTATCCCCTCTCAGCCAGGTTAATTCCCTCTGAACTGTTTTATAAACTTTTATTTTACCCCCCCCCCCCTTAGCTGTCTTTTTCTTACTTGAAAACCCCAGACGTTTTAGCCTTTCCTCACAGGTAAGGCGCTCCAACCCCTTTATCATCTCAGTTGTCCTATTCCTGCGTCCTTTTCCAGTTCTGCAGTATCCATTTTGAGTTGGGAGGCAACTGGAACTGCACACTGTATTCCATCCTGTTTAATGCCATTCTATATTTCACATTAAATTGGGGTCCCTGTATCAAATACATTGCAGTGTGTTTGTTGCTGACTGAATCGGAATCTGCTAGATCAGGGGTGGCCAAACTTGCTTTAACGTAAGAGCCACAAAGCATAAACGTCAGGTGTTTGAGAGCCGCAAGACATGAACAAATATCACACACACGTTTTTATTGGAAAATATACAAATTTGCTCTGGATTAACATTAAAGGAGACTGCCCAAAATAAAAACAAAGGGGGTAAAAACAGATATCGATAATGATATTTATTTGTTCAATGGTATTTGTTTGCTAATGATATTTATTTGTCTGAGAGAGAGAGAGAAAGAGAGAGAGGTGGAAAGAAAGAGAAAGAGAGAGAGACAAAGAAAGTAAATAGATGGGGGAGGGAGGGGAAAGGAAGGAACAGAGAGAGAAAGGAAGGAAGGGAGAAAGCGAAAGAAAGGTGGAAAGAAAGTAAATAGATGGGGAGGGGAGGAAGGAAGGGAGAGAGAAAGAAAAAAAGCAAATAGGTGAGGGAGGATTGAAGAAAGAGGTGGAAAGAAAGAG